AGTATTTTGTCTAGTGTCAATTATATCATCAGTTATATCGTTATCGCAAATTTTCAAATGTATATCGTGATAAATATTTTTGATCATATCGCCCTGCTCTAAGTTGAAGTACACCCTCAGTTGACATATGTATGAAAACGGAGTACATTCTGTGACCACTTTCAGACATGCGTTTGATCTTTTCATAGATCGTGGTATTCAGTTTTGATTAGGAATATCAGAAAGGTCTTAAATTAGCTGTAGTAACAACGAGGTTACAGGTTTTGTTTTTTTCAATCCTGTTGCTCAGCACTATTTGCAAACACCACCACTTATCAGGACCTCAGTAATGTAAGGATGTTAGTGATGCCTGCCAGAATATTTGTGTGTGACACACCCACGCAAAGTTGGAGTTTTTAACAACTTTAAACAACTGCAGCAGACTAAAGTGACAACCATGCTCGGCTAAGTGTACTGTCCTTCACTCTGTTTCCCAGCCTGTAGTGTGCAGGCCTGGCTGAGGCTGCTGACAGATACTGTACATGGTCTGGAGCAACGCAGCCACAAGTTGACAGACTTTTTATGTTATCTGTTCCAGGCTCAGTCAGCATACTGGCTGCATGTGTTTGCTAAACCCCCAGTACCTACTGCAGATAACTGTAAAAGAGACGTTAAAGTTTAGCTTTTTTCTTCTTTTTCCTTTTTAAGTCAAGCTAGTGTCGCTAGGCAGAAATGTGGACGTTTAGGAGATTCTGCAGCACTTGGTGAGCTACAAGTAAAGTCACCACAATCCCACACACTGACACAGCCACAAAGCTTTCAGATTTATTTTAAAGTTAATGCTGTGTGGAGAAAAAAACCAATCTGTGGCAGACCAAACTATCCATCTTATCTGGTAAAGGTTTTTAGAAGTAGTGGCAACCCCAAACTGTGTATCTGCAAATAATATCAGCCTTTTTTTGGTAATTGAATAAATCAGTTGACGGATTGAGGACACACCGACTATACTTTCATAAGCTATTAAAGCTGCAGCTACCTTAATTATTTTATTTTGACAAAAGCATCCATGAGCTCCAGATTTAAAATATTTTGGAGAGAATTTGGATGAAGAATTATCCTTTTTTTCTTTTTAGTTTTTCAAACCAAACTAATGTGGTTTTGAGAATCGCTCGTAGCTCACAATGCTGTCTTTGTTAAAACGGCCGAAAAGCACAGATCCCAAGAGGGGTTGGATCGGAGAAAATACTTTGTTTTGTCAAGGTCAAGGCACGGGCCGCTACTGTTTTACTTGGCCAGCTGGGATTCTCTGCCAAACAGATGTCTTTGTTGGAGTCAGTTCTGTGCTTTGACTTGAGATTCAGTTTTTTTTTTTTAAATCTGGTATCATTCAGTCTCAGTTAAAGTATTTTCTTCATCTCACCACCCCGAGGCTGGATTTCTCTCATTGCCAAAGGCTGTGTCGACACATCATCACACTAGCACACAGAGTGTTAAATGATCTTTTGCAACGATGATCAGCAGGCACATTAGCAGCTTTGCATTTATGATACTTTTACTGGTGGCTTAAAGCAGCTTGTTGCTTCTCGGTGCCATCGTTGCCAAAGGTTAAAGACAAAAGAGAATACAGGCTAACAATGATGTGTCATTCCCCACCACCACTCTCTCTGTGTCGAACTAGTGGGTTGTGCTGCTCTGCCTTTGGTGTATTTATATCGTACAGAGAAGGGCCTGCAGAGAGCAGCCCAGCCTTGACCTGTAGCACTAGTAGCATCTTGTTGTGTTGTGATATTGCAAACAGATGCATTACTGTGCGTTCTCTGGGCAAGGCCCGTCTGTATATGTAGTGAATTAGAGCAGAAGAGACGGGTCCAGGTTCAGGGAAATGTTTAGTGTAAACTCGTCTCCACATGCGCCTGGCAGCAATATCTGAGCAACCCTGCTGGACGAGAGGAAGAGCCTGTTGTTGTGACGGGCTTTGTGAACAGACTGTGTATTTGTGTGTGAGTGCGGTGCCATATATCAGCCTGTCTTCATGTCCCCTTTCTCCTGCTCGATCTCTCTTCTGTTTTGGCTCCCAGCTGAACTCCCCTCCTCAGTCCCAGATGTAAAAACAAGCCCATCACAAGTGTACATTGCCCTGGTAAATCTGTCAGTGGATGCTAAAACTCGGCCGATATGTCATCCAGACGCCGCACGCTCCGCTCGCCGAGACACTGCAAAGAGGCAATAGAGGAGATTTACTTGTTGGGGGGGGGACAACATTGTTATTTTCACGTCTGCTCCTCTGGGACCTGGCAGGGATTTTTAAGACCGAGTCATTGCTCACTGAGCCATTTTACAGGTGCCGGCCTTTCATTTTTTTTTAACGCAGACCTTCGTCGGTTTTCGTTCAGGGCATTAAACCGCACTGTCCTTTCGTCGTGTGTGTGAATGCACGGTCACACTGTAATTTAAGTGCAGGACACGGGACGGGCGTAATGCCAGTCTGAATAACCAGAGGTTAACACAAGTTCATAGACATTGTGTTTTGACAATTCATCTTCAATAATTATGGTCTGTCACCATGATATGATATTGTTGGCAGTAATTGAACAAACCTGTAGGAGTCATCATATTGGGCCTGAAGCAGGATGAGGTAATCATGTGGGTTTCGGTGATTAACTGCCCCTTTCTTTTTTTCTGTTTTCTTTTTTTGTCATTGTCTAGGCGTTGACTTCAAAGTGAAGACCATTTCTGTGGATGGCAACAAGGCAAAGCTGGCAATATGGGTATGTTACAGACTCTATCATTATTCCAGTGCTTTAGTATCACTCGGTTAAACAAACATGCAGCTCTTGTCTGTCAGAGCAGAAAAATGAACTATGAAACAGCTCCAGCTCATGTCTAGACCGGCTCTTCTCTCAAGTAACCAGAAGATGGCGCTTATGTAACACTATTTGCACCCCTTGAGGGACACCAAGGAGTGTGTCTGTGTTGTTTGTGTTTGTCTGCCCTGGTTTGTAGCCACTGGTTTTTTTCCTTGCAAGTGTGAGCAGCAGTGTGTGTTTTGCAGGACACCGCGGGACAGGAGCGCTTCCGAACCCTGACGCCCAGTTACTACCGCGGTGCCCAGGGAGTCATCCTGGGTAAGCAAAGCTATTAGCACCGTCATTGCTCAAACACCTGTACGTGTGTGTGTGTGTGTGTGTGTGTGTGTGTGTGTGTGCAGCCTTTGACTTTACAGTCATGCCCCTGTTGTAAAGTGAGTGATGGCTTTTCATCCTGTGACTCACACACATACGCCTGCCTCTTTCTGGAAGTTAGTTTATACTCTTAAATCAGAGTCTTCATAAGGTCATGCATGTGCAGCATGTATACACACACACACACACACACACACACACACTACGGAAAGTTAAACCTCTAAAGCAGACTTCCTCTACAGTTCATGGTTTTTGACCACACTAATGATGTAAAGTAACAGAAGGCGCCTCGTTGTATCAGTGGGATTTTGAATAAATCAGCCACGTGTTTAAGTTGATGTTCCTTTATTTTATTGCTGTATTTATTTTATCTTTTTTGTTAGATGAGGATGATGATTATTATTAGTATTATTATTAATATTATTATTACCAAAGTGGAAATTACACAGTGTTATTGTCAGTAAAGTTTCATTTGCTCTGTGATTTTCGATAATAAACCAGTCGAAAAGGTTCAGCAGTCAAGGACTTCTTACACCTGTCAGATGAATTTTAGTGTGTCAGATGTTCCTATTGCCTTACACACCATAACTACTTTTGTATAATTATTGCAGTTCTCCCAATCGTGCATCCAGAAAATCCACACACTCATTCTGCACTTAAAATATTTTTTTCTCGTCCTGTGAATGAGTATTTTCTTGCATTCTGAGCATGCCCTGTTCATTCTGTGTGTCACAGTGTACGACGTCACGAGACGGGAAACCTTTACAAAGCTCGACAACTGGCTGAGTGAGCTGGAGACATACTGTACAAGGAATGACCTTGTTAAAATGCTTGTAGGGAACAAAATTGATAAGGTCAGTGTGTTTGTCTATAAAATTGTGATGTTAAGGGTGCGCGTGACATTTTTAATATTTAGCTTCAGTGCAGTCTTCCCTTGGTTTATGCTCTTTAGATATATATGTGATACACACAGAACAGGGAGATGGATTGCCCCAAAAATAAGTGTGTTTTACAAAGTGAGCCCTCGACCAGCTGATGGATTGCTAAGCTAAATGATAGTAGCACTTTCATATTTTCTGGCAGCTGGTCCTTTGCCAGGATACCAGAATCAGTGAGTGGAGTTAAAAACGTAGACTGTTATGAATTCATTGCGTTCTGATCTTTGTCTGTGAAAACCACCCTCTCTCCCTGGCCCGTGACGACCACAGTAGCTGACAGCCCAACCCGACAGACCTCAAATAATCCATTACCTTTCCTTTGTTTTAGGAAAACCACGAGTTAGACAGGGCTGAAGGGCTGAAGTTTGCAAGAAAACATTCCATGCTTTTTATAGGTAAGTCAGGAGGATTCCCCGCTCTACAAAGAGCTGCCGGGCACATGAGTTACACCAGACTGTTACACAGGGGAGACAGAGTTTGAAATAACTATCATACTCACCGAGGAATGCTTGCATACTTCTATTTATAAAGCAGGCTTCATATATCATCTTTAGTGCACTCTCTTTTTTCCCCCTCTGCTGTTATTTTTCAGGTTTGTCAGTAAAAGGGGGAACTTAAAAGTTAACACCTAGTTTTTATCTTGAGCACTTAAAGTGTTATTTGGTAATATGTAAAGATTTTTTGACATGTTTTCCAAGCAATTCTCAAAGATATTTCTCGTGATTTGTGACATAGTAGGATTTATTTCTTTATGCTATGGTTATTACAATTGAAATGTTCCTGGATGTTATCATGCTACGCAGCAGGTGCTGACTAGAGCCAATAATAACCTGCTATGGTCCAGTATTAGCATCGTGGAGCTGACAGTTACTGTTGAGATGTTTTCCACCGCTCGGCGCTCCTGCTGGGGGGGCCAGCAGATGATGACATCAAGACGCAGACGTTAACAGTTGTTGTTTCTGCGTTTTGTCTTCTTTTTCTCCACCTGTTCCGATCTCTGCCTCCTCCCCATTCCCGTCCCTGTCACTTCTCCCCTCCTCTCTCCTTCCCTCTGCACTCTCTGTCCTCCCAGAGGCGAGTGCAAAGACGAGGGACGGCGTTCAGTGTGCGTTTGAGGAGCTGGTGGAGAAGATAATCCAGACTCCTGGCTTATGGCAGAGCGAGAACCACGGCCGAGCAGTCCAGCTCACCGACGAAGACGCGGGAGGTGGAACCTGCGGCGGCTACTGCTCCCTTGTCTAGACTACCTACACACACACTTAAAGATTTACATGGGACAAATACCCTCGAATACAAGCATATCCACACACACACAAGCATACACACTTTAAAAGAACAGCTTCTCTTCCTGCTGTGTGCTGACCTGAGCTCCGTCCTCACACATCAAGGCATTAGAGATCCAACTTTCTCCTCTCTTCTTAGGTGAAAGTGTTGATTTCTCTCTCGCAGACAGACACAAACACACACACACACACACACACAGACCTTTTGCACACTTTCTAGTGACAACGCGGCGCTAAAATGCAAATACAGCTCAGCTTTCCTGTTAATGGAATTTGAGTGTTTCTCTCTTTCTGTTTTGTTTTGAGTCGCAGTTTTGTGCAGTCGCAGTGCCACGGTCAACACATTAACCGTTCTCGCTTGATACTCGTGTGATTTAGTTATAGGGATGCAGTAAAGCGAGTCCAGAATCGTTAGCCAAAGCTTGTCAGACATATGGCTAAATCTCTGAAGTATGATAATGAGAGTGGAAACTCTTGTATTCGACCTAGGTTTCTTTTCGTATCAAGCATGCTTTTTGTCCTCGGCGCACCTCGCCTTAGCAAGCACAGCTGCATCAAAGCAGGGCCGACTTTTCTCCAGTGTTAGTGTCACTTTTCTTCTGCCCTGCACTTTGTCCTGTTCCGCGTGCACAGGCTCTAAGATTATAATGCTGCTTATGGACGAGCTTATCAAGCCGAGCCATCTTGTATTTTATCTCGGTACTCTCAGTCAAAGGCTTGGATCAAATGACTCTGTTGTGCACATGACTGCCTCATTTCTTTCCAAGTGTTTGGAATGGTGTTTTATGACTTTTATTGACTTGGACTTCAAACTAGTGCTGTGTTTTTTGAAAAGAGCATAAATCAAAGAGACTGGCACCAACGTGCTTTCCACTGGGTGCTGAAGAAGAGGGGACCTCTTAAAATTGCACGCCTTTTTAAAAAAAAATTTTTTTTTTTAATGTGTGTAACAAGTTGCTTTAATGGAGTGCGACCTACTGGCACTCATTCACTCAGACAGATAATATCAGTAATATCACCACCACTGCTAGTCTTTCATATAGATCCCTTTGACTGGACAGAGACAAAGGAAAAGTGTTCAATATTAAAGAGGGCAGTGAGTCATACGGGTGTCTCCACTGAATTTGGAAAAATCAAAGAAAAAGCTGTGCGCTCCACATTGCTAATGGATTTCGCAGTTCTCCCATCTCTGTGTTAGCATCTGAGAAACACTCATAAATGTACTGTACCCCTGACCTCTGACCATGTTTGCAGCATTCAAGCGCTGGCATATGTTCCAGGAAATGTACTTCTGGGGGTTTGATCTCCTAACAGGGATAGTGAAAGTGACATGAATTTGAGCATGTCTCATCACACTTTGATTTTTATTATTTTTTTTAATTGCATGGGAAATCTGTGTGCCATTTCTTTCCCCCAGTTTGTCTGCTGGTGAATGACGTTTAGAGGCTTACTTATATTTAGCTGAAAATAAATGCAAATTTACCATTTAAATTGAATGGTTACAATAAAAAGGAAGTAGGCTTTTACTTATTAAACTGGTATAGCTGTCTCTTTTGTGTTGAAATATGTCAAAACATTTATAAATGTTGTATTTTAAGAATTTGTCGGGGAACCTTTGTGTAAAGCTGAATGTATCCATATTTCACTACAAATTGCCCTATGTATTAAACTAAATAAAGTTCTTTTTTAAGTGAATATAAATGGATGTGTTGCTGCTGATGTGTTACTTGACGCGCCCCTGTCATCATTGCCATGTTAGAAATGTGGCTGCTAGGTGATGGGTTTTTCACCCGGCACCCGTCACATTCCTGTGTCTTCAGAATAAAGACTTGGTGTTTAAACAGTGTCCGAGGAGCCCTCAGACCCCAGACGTGCGATCTGTCTAAATCATCTTTTTGGCGAACTCCTCAGGAAGCACCACCGCAGCCATAATTCACTCTATCAGTGCTTTAACTGGGATGTGAATAATTCCTGAGCCATTATAAAAGGGTCAGGGTTGGCAGCTAAACCAAGGACTCTTCCCTTGTAGCATATCCCTCATTTCTTGCCACACTCTGGGCAGCTGTGTGGAAATATGTCCCAGTCAAACAAAAGAGACGCGGAGCCCAAAGTCTTCATGTGGTCCAACCATGTGCTGAGCTGCAGCACCACGGTTTCCTCATGCCTACACTGAAAAAACAGTCTTCGAGGAGCTGAGAGATTATATATTTTGGAGAATACGTTTGTTTGGTTTACATACCTTTTAGTGATATATTGTGCAAAGCTGTGCAGTGGATGGTAATTTTCGAACCCCCACCCCAACCTCTAATGCTGTATGCATCAGAATCCTGAACCTTTTATTTAAAGAAGGAAATGGAACTTTTGGAGATTTAGAATCTGTTTTTTGTGAAACTGTCCTTGGCAAAGACATGGACAACTTGGATATTAGATCTACTGTGAAGACAAGGTTAGAACACGCAAACTCCACACATAACCAGAGGCACTAGAAGACAGGGTCCTAATGAAGCAGCAATGGCCTTTACATAAATGGACACTGCACTCCAACAGTTACTGAATAGTTGCATGCCCATGCAAAAAAGTAGACTAACTGTAAAACTATGGTATATCTGAATTTCATCGTAGTGTTTGACTAAGGCTACGTCCACACGTACACGGGTATTTTTGAAAACGGAGATTTTCCGTTTTCGTTTTAAAAAATAATCCCGTCCACACGTAAAGGCAGAAATGAAGGAAAACGCTGCTAGGAACATGCCAAAGCAACAGGTGGCGATATATTCCTAACTGTGCAGAAATGTTGGCCAATCAGAAGTCTAGAAGCCTCGGTGAGAAAAAGTAAACAAAGCTGGGGCATAGAAGCAGAACCAAGTGGTATGTGTGGAGGGACAGTAACTGTGTGTGCATATGTAAGTATTTAAACACTGCAGAGAGTACAAGTAACAGTAATAGTATTGTAGAAATTCATTTCTCTTAAACAATAAGATGGCGCACACCTTTGACGCTGCGTTTTCCGTTTCTTCGTTTTTCTGTCCACACATAAATGCAAAAACGGAGTTTTCAAAAATATCCACCCTGGCCGGAGTTTTTAAAAATCCCGTTTTCAGTGACCAAAGACGCTGTTTACGTGTGGACGAAAGGTGCAAACGCATAGAAAAATCTGCGTTTTCAAAAATACCCGGGTACGTGTGGACGTAGCCTAAAAAGACATCACTCACGTCAATTAAGGTTAAAAAAAAAAGAAAAAAGGTCACCTTTTTCCAAAGTGAGTTGGAAAGTGTTTGAATGTTAAAAAAGTGATGATTAAAAACTAAATTGTCTTTTTGGCAAAAAAGGTTAATGTGTTGACAGTGGCTCAACTTACATTCAGAATACAGGGATATCAGGGCAGTGTAGCAGCTTGGATTTGAGGTGGAACTCTACCAAATCGAGTATTTTTATGACTTTAAGTGTCAGGCTAAATTCAGAGATTCATCACACTCAAACCTGCGATTGAGTAAAATGGGTCTAGCGATACCCAGGATGCTAACCTCTGAGAAACCTTTAGTTGTTACAGTTCCACCTCTGGGGTAGATGTTCCAAATTTATCCACCTAAAGCCAAAAAAGTCACAAACTTTGTGCTGGCATTGCAGGAACATGACTGGATTACCACATCAATAACTTGATCACCCTCCGTGTCTGTGGTTTCAATGCAATTGATGCAGCAGAAGATTCAACAGTACGGCTTGAAGGGGTGGATGAAAGACGGTGGTTTCCCTGGGGAAAAGAGTTTTTGGTAAACCCTGGTCAAACAGAAAAGCACTGAAAGGAGGATTAAACACTCTTTGGCACCCAACATGTCACATGAAAACACCCAGAACACCTCATGTCCTGACACACCTCGCTGTCTGAGAAAGCCTGAAAGCTGCTCTGGTGGGACTGCTTGATGGACTGCTCTCTGTCCTGCTGCCTGTGTTTGAGCATGCAGCCAGGCACAAAGCTAACAGAGCAGATCTGGCTCTCATTAGCACAACCTGGTCTTCCTGCTCCTCCTCTGCCTGCCAAAGCAGCAGGCCTTATGGGTTAGCGTTCAGATGAGCTCCTCGGGAGAGCAGTCATGCTGTCGTGTGTAAAAACCTTATGAGACACTGGGCATCGTTTCATAAGGTGTCGGGTTCCCAGACGGCACTCACGTCGTCATGCTTATTGCCATTTTGCTATCAGGTGATTGTTTTGCCATGTTAACTTATATAAGTGAGGAAGAGAGTGAGAAGGTGATTGGAAAAAGATCATCCTCTAGTACAACCACCTGCACGGACTATTGTAGTGAGGAGCTGTGATATGGTGGGGGATAGGGCTGAAAAGTGCAGCAGGCCTTTGCTGAGTTTAACAGAACTTCTGGACAACAGCTCAATGTCCTCTGCACTTAGGGGTTGAACCTCACTTGTTGTTGGTAAAAGGAGCCCGTAGGTCTGCAGATTGTTTCACTATTTTCTTTCTGAGGTAAGTTAGAGGAAAATGCCCCTTTGCTCCTTTTCCTTCCTCTAAAGTCGGGCAAAGTCAAGCTCAGGCCTCCCTTAGGTAAGCCACTGAGTCCCAGAAAACTGGGAGGTAATGACCTGCATGACCAGAACTGATGGCTCTGGCACTGCAGGTGGAAACACTTTGATTAAAAGGAACCTAGTGTTTACATTGTTGCACCCGTTCACATTTAGACCCTTTGACATTTTTGTCAGGCAGCCGTAGAATCCAGTTTCAGGCCTGATCTCTTGAACTTGAACTGTGCAACCTCCCGTGTCCTTTGCCTCACAAAGAACACCCACCACCTCAACCACCTACATTCTACAAAATCTTGAACCTTGTATGGGCTTGTTGGAATTAAGCAAAGTACTTGAATGGTAAACTCCAATACGGTTCACAACTAAGGCCACAGTACAACAAAATTACAACAAAATCTTAAATAAAGGTGTAAAAAGGCAAGCATAAGTTACTCCATAATACAGTCCATGCCCTGAAATGGAAAGCATACTTACAATGTAAGATGAAATATGGTTTTGCCATGAAATGACCAGGTTATTATAAACTTAAAATTATTCACAGGATAATTCTCACCCCAACCGGTCGCAGCAGATGGCCGCCCCTCCCTGAGCCTGGTTCTGCCGGAGGTTTCTTCCTGTTAAAAGGGAGTTCTTCCTTCCCACTGTCGCCAAAGTGCTTGCTCATAGGGGGTCATATGATTGTTGGGTTTTTCTCTGTTTCTATGAAGCGCCTTGAGGCGACTTTTGTTGTGATTTGGCGCTGTATAAATAAAATTGAATTGAATTGAAATTGATAATTTGTGTCACCTTTTCTGTAAAAGATGTGGAAATAGTTAAGGTTAAGCCCCTCCCCAATATGACCTCCTCTCCAAAATGTACAGCATAGTGAACACTACTTACCTGCTTTTAGGTATTTGTTTGTAAATATAACTATATCATAATTTCAAATAAAATATTATCACAAAACAAATAAAGTAAATTCTATTTAATTATAGGGAGATTGCGACGTTAGTCCCTGGGTGTATTATAGTGTTACCAGAATTTCTAATATGCTCCTCGACATGCTCAGGAGCAGCATGTTTGTTGCATATGTGTATAATAACATCAGGCTCCACATAACCTAATAAGAACAGGCCCAGGGTGAACAGGTGACCTCTGGCCTCGGATGCATGTAAGTCAGTTCAGCTCATAGTAGGTCTGTAACTGAGTTTCCTCATATTTGATACCCTGTCAATCTAATTTGAACCTGAATGATTGTATTGTAACTCACTCCTGTTATTTTCAAAAACACAGCACCGTGTGTACTAGTCCTAAAGAAAGCAGGAGATGGATGCTCTTCAACCTCGAAAAGAAAAGTCCTCTTGCTGTTGGGGTTGCTTTCATCCCGGCCTCAGGTTACTGTGGCAATAAGCGGGAGGGCTGAGGACAGGCTGGCAGGATGAGTAACTTCATTCATCGTCTCCCCACCCATAATTCCCCATGTTCACGTCACTTCCATCCCGTGTGGCATATCTCCTGCCACTCACTGCCTCTGCGTCTCGCATTCCGCAGCCGTGTCATCATCATCTGCCGTGTCAGATCGCCCCACCAGATGCTACCGCTGCAACATGGAAGCAAACAGCCATGTACTCAGGCCATCGGCTTCTATAATAAACTAATCAAACTGTATCAACATGGACTGGGTGTAAGCTTTCCACATGCCTCAAACATTTTCATGGACAGGACGCATGTTTGACTGCAGCACTGCAGAAAAAAAATTAATAAACTCCCTTCTGGGTGAGATGATTGGCATGTATAGAAACAAATTCATTATTTTGTATAAATAATCTGGGCCCCTGTGTAGTAATTTCCCTGCTTATTTTTCTTTTCCAAGCTGATCTTAATTTTGGGGCCAGACCAGAGAATTTTGTTGTAAACCACCAAGACTAAAAGACCCCATTTTCATTCTCTTTGAAGAGGCAAGGAGGTCTGTAAGGTCCTGGAAGATCCACAGTTAGTCGACAGAAGCCGTTTTTCCGCCAGGCCAGAGCTTAGCTTGAAAGAAGGGAGAGATTTCTGAGGTTTAAACTTCCTGACACTGTGTCGAGATTTCCCAGCGTCTTGTAGCTTACGTCCCTAACCTTATATAGAGTTTTTTTTTCTGACCATTTGCCGTCCTTTACGCCTTGGATGAAACCTGAGCCTAAGTT